ACAGAAACAAACGCGGACTTATTAACGGAATAGGAAGTATCTTGAAATCAATCACCGGAAACTTAGACTCTACCGATGGTGAATACTTCAACAAATGTATTGAGGCAAACCACCTATTTGAAATATTATTTCTTCAAATCTTAACTTTTTTGAAAAATATTCACTGAATAAAAGTAGATGTTGCAACCATGTATTGCTCAGTGGAACTCCTGAGAAGAGCGCGCTATCAAATTTAGGGGACCGGGTTCGAGCGGTACTGCGAACGGGACACGGAAGAGAATAGGCAACTAGACGCTAGACTGGAGAACAGACTGGTTCCTTTAAATGCGTGTCTGTAATTATTTATTATTAAATTTTCATTCCTATTTTGCATTAAAATTAATTGTTCAATCCAATTTGTTATTAGTGTGTGTGTCAAGGAGCGATCACCAGGTCAGTTAAATAATTATTATTTTATTTTTGAGAGTTCAATTTACGCAAGTATTATTATTTTTTTTTTTTTCAATTTTTATGTTTCTTGTTTGTTTATAACAATTTTTTATAACATGTGCATTGTTTATGCATTTAACCAAAATCGTTTCATGCTGTAAACAACACAGATAAAGAAGTAAATTAGAACCTAAGAAATTATGTGCTGTCTTTTTGTGCTGAGATTTTGATTTTGTGTATTCAGAGCGTGCATTAGAGCCTTGTTGAATGTACTAAAATTTTTCTACCCTGACGAGAGAATATGCTAGAAAATTGATAAAAATCAATCTAGAGATATTGGCTCAAAAACAACTATAGCTAGGTAGCATCCCGTATGGGACCTCAGTACCTTCCGGCAGACCGGCTAACTAACCAAAGACTCTTCAGTTTTGATTATAGGTAGTGTTGATTGAATGTAGTGTGTGTAATTAAAATTCTAGCACAAGAACAGGGGCGGTACATAGTTTCAACTTTTATTGTATTGATGACTCACAATTATTATTAAAATTACACAGTATGTTTCGATTTTAGGAGGAATGTTAGATCGAGGGTTTCTCTGCCGTTCTCTTTCCCCTCGAGAATTCTAGGTCGAGAACGGTACGTTTTTCTTTGAAAATAAAGGAGACGTTTCACAAAATTTTAGTTTCTTTTACATATCACAACTTCCCTTAAATTTCTCAAATATTTGCTATGTCGGGCGCATGTCCAGTAAGTAAAATTGAGTAAGTTTCCACAACGTAGGTCCTATTCGCTTTTCATTTCGTTTTTCAGAATATTTGTTGTTTAAAAGGTAATAAAAATTCTCATCGTGCAATCTTACTGAGCGAACCCGGGTATGTTATACTACAGTATTGACAAAATTAATACACACGAACGAGAACTTAAAATTTTACTTCAATTCTACTATTCAAGAACTCCAAACGATGAAGAAACATTCAACATCTATATAGCAGAAATCAAAGAATTCATATCTGACATTTCGAACGATTTAAAGTTTTACGAAGCCCAAACCAGAACTCTAAACCTCTGTGAATCATTAATAGAAAGCTACGTCTTTCTAGAAAATTCCCTTAATGACATTCTAGAAGCAATAACGTTTGCACGTTTAAAGATCTTACATACCTCAATTATAACTCCTAGAGACTTGGTCGCTTCCTTACAGGAAATATCGCGCTCTTTGTCCAAAAATAACCTTCCTTTACCTACATAATATCTTCCATATGTAGCACGATACCTGGATTTAATTGATTTAGAAGCTTATCAATCAGAAGGCCAAATTGTCTTTATTCTTAGAATACCGCTGATCGAACCTGAAATATATACTCTTTATCACATCTACCCTATCCCAATTTTGGATAATCGAACAGGTTTTCATCATATTTTACCAATAACTCAAAAATATATCGCGAGAGATGACGATTCTTTATTGTACATATTACTCCAAAGCCTGGATCACTGCAAACCTCTTGATAATAATACAAGGATATGTTCTGACCTCCTACAATACCCTATAGACAGTGAAGCCATTTGCGAAGCCCAACTCCTGAAGTCAACAGGGACACTTCCCAAGACTTGCCAAACCTCAATCTAACTCGCTAGTGACTACAATGTGTAAGAACTAGACACAAACTACTGGCTGATTACATTATCATCGTCCCTTCCATTCAGATGTGATGGCAAAAACAGTGTGACAGAAACAATCAACACCAACACAGTGCTCAAGCTCCAACCAACCTGTAATGCCTTTGTAGGAAACTCCAGAATTCATGCTAGGAATCTAGCAGAAAACTACAGAAACGTCACCTATAAAAGCCATCCAGGGGAAATTCCCTATGATTGGTGCAAACACCTGCCGGTAGATCTTCATGTGTCACAGTTGAAACCTCTCAAACTATCTAAAATCAATATCAATAATCTAAACGTTGCACAGCATAGACTAAACCAATTTTCGGATGAACTGGATAAACTAATCCAAGAACCATTCGTATCAAGACACAGTTAGTGGTTCATCTCCTTCATCATCGTACTAATAGCAGCTCTTGTAATCATTTACATTTGTTGTAAGTGTCGACGAAAGGCGTCTCCCAAATCTAGCCCTATCAACGAAAACGAACCACAACCGCCGAAGTCTCATTCACGTCTTCAAATAGGCAACAACCTTAGAAAGCTTTTACCGAAACGAAGAAACACCGTTCTTTCAAATCTACCCTCAGAACAAGAGATGACCAGGGGCCTTATTCTGGGGCCTTATTCTGTAAAGAACAAACCGTTCGATTCGGTAGAATTTCTTCGATTGTGACGTCATTTTCAGTTTGCTAGCGCGGAAGCTATTCCGAAAATGACGTCACAATCGAAGAAATTCTACCGAATCGAACGGTTCGTTCTTTACAGAATAAGGCCCCTGTAAAGAACGAAGCGTTCGATTCGGTAGAATTTCTTCGATTGTGACGTCATTTTCGGTTTGCTAGCGCGGAAGCTATTCCGAAAATGCCGAAAATGACGTAACAATCGAAGAAATTCTACCGAATCGAACGGTTCGTTCTTTACAGAATTAGGCCCTAGTCTACATAACAACCCAGTTGGTCTTTGAAAAAATTGTTGCAAAGCACCAACTTTTTACTTAATGGGGGAGCTGTTATATGGATTTCACGACTACATTGACCTCAAGACGCGTTTCATCACCACGATGGTACAAAGTATCGCAAAGTCTAGACGCTACTTCAGCAAGTTATCCTGTGAGATCATGTCACGCCAAGAACCCTGGTCCATCGTCGCAACGCTCCCATAGAAACAGCAAGAACAACATGTTTTATAGTTATTAATGATACAAGTTCGATATGAACGCCATAATGAAACGCGTGTAACGTTAAACCACGAGGCGTTAGCCGAGTGGTTTAGTTACACAAGTTTCATTAATAAAGTTCATATCGAACGTGTATCATTCAAAATTTAATCTACAATGGTCCAAATAGATTTGATTTGCCTTGAAATAGCAAAAACTTTTCAAATTAAAATTTGAAATTTAGCAGGTGCCCGTACTAGTCGAGAACCTGCTTGTTGGTTTATAGAATTTTGACTTTGGCAGCTTCAATATTGGAGTCCATTTTTGTGCCATAAATTCAATTTTATAGTGGAAAATAATATTATTATTGGTGATTCTGAGTTCGAAAGTGTCTCTTCGAATATAGAGACAGCATTATTGAAAAGGTTCTTCTGGCAACTAACTTTCTTTTTGTATATTTTTCATTTCAAAATTTGGGTGTTATTATGAATTCTTAAACGCACTAGTGCTATTATGAAGGACCTAATGACATTCAAATGACAATGCTAAATGTGTCATAATGACACCGACGTAGATTAAAATATAAAAGATCCTGTCTCTTTAGTTCAAGCGTCATTATTCGTCATTATTTAGGATAGTTGAGTTAATGTCCGATTTTATTTGTAACTTGTATTTTAATAGTTATTTGTGTACCAAGGCCGTAAAGTTGATCTTTTTTGGCCGAATCAGAAATTTGCGGCCGCGGCGTAGCCGAGGCCAAGCAAATTTCAGGTGAGGCCAAAAAAGATCATTTAGCCGAGGTGCACACAAAATTTTTTAGGCGAGTGTTTGTTCTTGAAAAAACACGAAAATTTAACAGTAACTTTAAGCTTTTATTGATCAAATAAATAATCCAGATAGGTAGATACATAATTATTAGTAACAAAAACTACGATAAAGGAAGTGTGATTATAGAAAATTGCCGACTTTTTCGCCTGGTATCCTACATTGTGCTTTTTTAAAAAAGTAATAGGATAGGGCTAAAATCAAAAATTTGGTTCCATTGTGGTTGATAACTAATTGTTTATTGATTGTCTGTCTATATATATTCACCAAAGTAGCGGCCGTAAAGTAAAAGCGGCCGTAAAGTAATAAAGCAAATGCGGCCGTGAAGTAAATGCGGCCGTAAAGTAAATGCGGCCAAAAAAGATATACTTTAGGGATGATATTGAATCCGTAAAACTAATCTTTTTGTGACAGTCGCCTAAAAAATAAATTAATGTTTTTTTAAAAAGTGATTTCAAGAGTTTTTGAGATAACATAGATATGTAATTAAAATTATTTCCTTAAATTGGCAATTATTATCGTTCTAAGGTCCATAATTTTGGGATTGACCTTGAAAAAATAAAATAATCAAAATTCGAAATGTGTAGTCAGACAGATGAACCCAACAGTTTTGAATCTTTGCACAAATATGCTGCGTTTATAAGAAAAATGCAAAATCGCTACCTAATTTAGAACCTGTTAAAATGAAAAGCAAATAATGTAGACCAGGGATAGATATTCAAGTTCATGTCACTAAGTACTAAAAATTATCGAATATTTTAGCCATGATCTAATATTTATCGAAGTAATAATACCTATATTTTCACAATTTTTTTTCACATCCCTTTAATAAGTTTGTTTATAAAATTAGACATACTTATTTCATTTATTACAGAAGTTCTAATTATTATCAAAAATGTAAAAAATCATATATTTCATTACGTTATTATTTCTTTGTCTTTTTTCCACCCTTTCTAATTGCTCTAGCCTTTTTTTCCTTCAGAGACGGCAATACTGGTGCTGGTGGTATTTCATAATTCAAATAAAGAGCAAAATTTGGTAAGCACAAATATTTCAATAGGGGCAAATTCCTTAGATAAATCTTGCAAAAAAATTCTAATATATTTTTTGCATCTTTCAACTGGAACACTTTTTTATAACTTGGTGGAAATGGTAAGCTGTGGCACATCATTAAATCCTTGAAATAAATATAAAGCTTCTCGGCACCTACTTCTTGACCACTGATAAAATATTTGTGCGTTAAAAAAAACTGCGACAACAATGTTGCAGTTTTTTCTGTATCGTATTTATGAAATTTACTAAAGTTGATTACGTCGGCCAGTAATTGAACAAAAATATCCTTTGGACGTCCTTTAGGGTGATTTTTCAACGTCGAATCAATAAAACTGTGAATTTCCTTGACAGTTTTCAGTTTCAATAAAGCTTCAACTTTCTCTTGGTCCAAATAGTCCCACTGAGAAAGTTTCGGTTCTTTTCTTGTAACATTTGGAATATTGAATGCCGATATTTTATGCTCGATTTCTTCGGGTTTTTCCTTAAAGGAATAATAATCTTCGAGCTTGGGCACGTGGCTGTTGGGTAAATAGGAAATTTGGTAAGATAGTGAATCACGTTTTGTGGTCATTTTTTTAGTGTCACAATAATAATTGTCAGAGAATGTTTTGACATTAGCAACAATTGATATCTGACTGAAAGATTTTTTGGAAACCTCCTAGAGAAATTAGGAGCCCGCCCCATTGATTTGGTATTTCGTATCCTTAATACCAACGAAAATATTATTAATTAATTCAGCACTAGAACAAAGTTATCTGTAAAATCTTCCTTCAAATATTTTGATGTCATGTCTGTGGTGTTTTGCCCTTACCAATCACAGAATAGATTGGATTTACATAATTAATCCTATTTTAGAAGTTATTTAAATCAGGTACCCTATGTTATGATGACTCTCTAATTCTATTTCTATATAATGGTTCAGGACCCAAATAAAACCCCAGGATGTGAATTGTATTTTTTCTACAGCTGTGCGGAAAATTAGTTTTCTCGCACTAGTGCAGACTAATTTTTCCGCACGGCTGTCAAAAAAAATTTATAAATTACTACAAATTATGGCAGACTCGTGCGGGAAAATTCATTTTCCGCACTTTTTAGGTAAATAGCTGTATTATGTTGTGAGCCCTACCAGCTAGACACACATTTTGTAGGACACTCTCCTCAAACAACTGAGTATCTTTTTGTAATGAAGATTATGTCTCTTTTTTCATAGAACATATTCTACAAATTCGTTAAGGTTTCAGGATCCCAAGGCATATACATATTTTCAATGCAAATACAAAGTTTTACAAGTCCAGCTAAACATGTCTACTATTCACGGCAAACATCAAAATATAAGTTATTCAAAACGGATTACATAACTGAAAATCACATCTTAAAAACATGATCCTAATTTTTATTATTCTGTTGTTCTTGGGTATATGTGGACCAATGAAACCAAGTGGTTTTGTTTTTTTAGCTACGTTCCGAAAAATTTATTTTCTTCTTCAGGCTTTAAAACAAGGTCAATATTAATGAAATTAACGACATTATATTCCAATTTTCGTGTTCCATACACTGATGCCTATGCGGTACAGGGTGAGTCACCATATTTTGACAGCCACCTGCAGCCGTAATTACAGGTGATAGGTAAAAGGTGTAAATACAAAAGTTGTAGCATTTTATCTGAACCGCAAGAATTTTTAATTAGATTGAGCAAATGAGCAACGCAAAGTAAAAAAATATGTCTTTGTTTACTTTTTTCAAATGGAATGCCATTTATTTTTTTATGTCATACCAATACATTATTGTGTTTTTATACCTTAGATACCATCTACATAATTCATTACTTTATGCCCGTGCGGGCATAAAGTACACATTATGGCCCGCGCGGGTATAAAGACGCAAAAAACAGTTTTCAATTAACTTATTCTTTATCGACAAAATATAAATTTACGCTTATAAACATATTATTTTTGTCAAAAAATGATGATGTTTGCACACTGATGACAATTTGGGAAGTGACACTTTTTTCCCAGGTATTTACTATTCACAACCAACTGGTATGACATAAAAATTTGTATGCACCACGGGTACTAATATAGTCCAGGAGGTGGCGCCAAAAACATGCAAGAGTTTTCGCAAGGCGGATATTTTCAAAATTGGTCATACTTTAGTGTTAGAATGCTAGTGTACAGTCAGCACTCACAGTTCCGGGACAGCTGGCTCTGGGACGCGGGCAAAGTTGTAATTTTAAGAAGCATCTAAACTGTTTTCTCAAAGCTCAAAACTTATAGAAATTTTGCACATTATATGTTTGAAGGTCACAGATAACGTATGTAAATCGTCAGACGTCTAGTTCGTTGCAAAAAGGGGGTCAGACGTCCTCAAAGTTTTTATTTTATGGCATTTTCTTCAAATATATTTGTCAAATACCTGCAAAAATATATGACAGGACACCGAAGAAAATGCCATAAAATAAAAACTTTGAGGCCGTCTGACCCCCTTTTTGCAACGAACTAGACGTCTGACGATTTACATACGTTATCTGTGACCTTCAAACAGATAATGTGCAAAATTTCTATAAATTTTGAGCTTTGAGAAAACAGTTTAGATGCTTCTTGAAATTACAACTTTGCCCGCGTCCCAGAGCCAGCTGTCCCGGAACTGTGAGTGCTGACTGTACACTAGCATTCTAACACTAAAGTACGACCTATTTTGAAAATATCCGCCTTGCGAAAACTCTTGCATGTTTTTGACGCCAGCTCCCCAACTAATAGATATATATACCCTCGGGCGACTTACGAACCCTCGGGCCAGAGGCCCTCGGCTTTGTAAGGCTGTCGCCCTCAGGGCATAATCATCTACTTAATACCCTTGATACATAAATAACTATTTCAAACTTTTAAAGTTGTCGTTTTTCTAATTCAGAATATATATAATACTTATGTTAATGTTTCTTTCAACAGTTTTGGAAATATCTGGAGTTTAGTTATTCAAAGATAGTAGATTTTTGAATACCTATATTTTACCTTGATTTATGTGTCGCCTGTCACAAAACATTCTGATACTTGAATAGGTCTTTGAATAACTAAACTCCAGATATTTCCAAAACTATTGGAAGCAGCATTAACATATTATATAAAATCTGAAAGGGAAAAACGAGAACTTTCAGAATTTGAAAGAAATTAAAGTGCATTCCATTTGAAAAAAGTTAACACTAAGGCCGCGTTAATGGCCGCCATGTTTAAACTGTGATTGGTTGATTTTTCGAAACTTGTTTTAAGGTCTTTAAAAAAACGGCACATCAGAATTAGCTCAAATTTGGCAACAACATTATTTGATCGATTATCTACAATTCCTTATTTTGGTTTTTCGATATTCAGCCTTTTTTTTAAATTCAAAAATCATGTGCGCAACCACCAAAACAATTAAATGTGTTGGTGGTTGCATATTTGCATGTTTATCAAGCTTGGATCCGTGAAAAGCATATTTTATTGATAACCACGAAAAACTAAAAAAAGCTGATTGTAGAGATTGTAGATAATATATCAAATAATGTTTATGCCATAGGATTTTGGAAATTATTGCGGATTTTTTGAGATGACCTTAAAACGAATTTTGAAGGTGAGAACAGTTCAAGCAATTTCAAATAGATGGCGCCACGGCAAAAAAGCTACATTGGGAGCATCATAATTGTATATTTATCTTTCTCTGTCACTAAGTGTTTCACCGACAAACAGATTTTGTTTCGAACAAAAAATAAAATATTGAACCGTATGTGTAGAGTGACGCAGTCGTCATTTTCAAAAACTAAATTTAAACATGGCGGCCATTAACGCGGCCTTAACATAAGTATTTTTTTCCTTTGCGTGGCTCATTTGTTCAATCAAATTGAAAATTAGATGGTGCGATAATGTCATAGTGAAATAATTGTTGAGATATCTAGTGGATTTGTTTGAGCTAATTACGGGACTAATAAGCGAGATAATGAAGGATTTAATAAAATTTTCAGAAATAATTGTAATGTCACGACATGTTGCGATACACGGTTCAGGTGAATACTATAGCAACATGAAGAAGTCAATGTTTGTCGAAATGTAGGATCATTAAAATAATTTGTGTAATTTTAGTAGTATCTTTAAAAAATATAATAAATTTTCATCAAGTAACGGCTAAAGGCCGGGACACATCTATCATACATTCTTCCGATCCGACTCCGATCATACAATCAAGGTCCTTATTCTTGGAATAGGCGAGCAGCGTTCCCAAGAGAACGCCTAGGAACATTGCTTTCTGTTCCAAGAATAAGGACCCTGCTTGTATGATCGGAGTCGGATCGGAAGAATGTATGATAGATGTGTCCCGGGCTTAACTAGGTGGAATATAGGTAGGTAGAGAGTACCTATTATCTGTTAGAAACTAGAAACACCTCAGCAAATCGCTGAGGTAATCAGAAAAAGATTTTGCTCTACGCTCACATAATTTGCGTCAAGATATAAACAGACAGATAAAATAGTTATTCACCTAACAAGTGCGGAAAATGATACTTTGGAAAAGACATTTTCCGCAAGAGTTAGGTACAATATTTTTCCCACGAGTGTTTTTGTTCATCTTATTTATCAAAAAAAATGTTTCCAATACGCAAAGATTTTATAATGATGGTACAAAAGAGCACATAATATAAAATAATATATAACAAATCATTTATTTGATCCTAAATATTTCCATTTTTAGAAATAAAAAAATCGTGCGGAAAAGTAACTTTTCAGCACTAGTGCGGGAAAGTGACTTTTCCTCACGATTTTACTTTTCCGCACGATTTTACTTTTCCGCACGATAATGGAACCGGATTTAAATTCACCATATTAGTTAGGTTAGAATCGCAAATTGGCGCGGCTTCCTAGTTCAAAAATTAATACATTGATGTCTTTGGGGCCTCAATTTCCAAAGCGTCTGTAGACGTGATAGAACGTTTGTTAGGGAAGTGAGTAGTATAAATAGTTTTTTCAATATGTTAATTAACTGAGAGAGTGTTTGAAAGTTGAATAAACATTGTTAAAATAAAAATATTACCAATTCAAGAAGCCGATGTTTGTATAAAATACGTATGTCGTTGCTTGATCCATAAGTATATATGTACAGTGATCGCCAAAAAGTTTGCAACAAATGGGAAAATATTTTATTATTAGGATATCAAAAACGATGTTACGTGGGATCAATTCAGCATACCTATCAACAAAAAAAAAGCATTGTGACAGATGTCATGTGACATGATGTGACCACAGTTATGGCGGGAAATTTAAAAAGTTCGCCTTAAATATGTAAAAAGTGGGATTAGATGACCAGAAATCGAAACATTGTAGAGAGAAAAATGGTTCAGGATTCGATTTTACGTCCATTTGTCAATTTTTGAAAAGATTTTTAATAAATATCAATTTTCTGGTAATTTGAAGAATATCAAAAACTTTGGATCATTTAGAACGATTTTATATTTTCAAATTTTTGTTTTCTGTAGGTCATTGCAACAAGACCAGAGTGGTCTGAAAATGAATTTCTGGTTTTTTACAATTTTCCGCGGGACAATTAAGCAGA